CTGATTGCCAAACCCAACAAACATACTGAAGTCTTGATTTTCCCGGAACGCTCTCTGCGGCAGATAACAAATGATTCCCCTCACTCCCCTTCTGTCCTCGTGCCTCTCTTGAAAGTGTCTACTCCCGGACTTTGGTCATGCTGTTCCTCTCCTGAGTCTCCTCATTCCTCTTGGTTACTTCTTCTTATGCCCCTTGGGAGACTATTCCTCTGCCATCTCTTAAATGCTGGGCTTTGCTAGGATTTTTCTCATTCTATACCTTTCCCCTAGATCATCTTATGCATCCCCATGGTTTTATCTACTATGCTGATGACTCTCTAATCCATATTTATAGCCCCAGACCTCTCTTGTGAGCTCCAAACCTGAATACTCAATTGTGACTAAACTCGTGGGACCTGGCCAAATTCATCTTTCTTATGCAAATCTGCCCCCATCCTCTATCTACCCCACTACCACCATTCAGGTGATGTAGACCTTTATCCACACAGTTGTGCGGGCCTGAAACTTGGGAGTCACCCTAGGCTCTCCATTCAAGCACTGGCCAAGACTTGCTAAGTCTTTTTTTTTAAGATTTATTTATTTATTTATTCATGATAGACACATACAGAAAGAGAGAGAGGCAGAGACACAGGCAGAGGAAGAAGCAGGCTCTGTGCAGGGAGCCGGACGTGGGACTTGATCCCGAGTCTCCAGGATCACACCCCAGGCCGAAGGCGGCGCTAAACCGCTGGGCCACGGGGGCTGCCCGCTAAGTCTCTTCTTTATGTTACTGCAGCATGCCAGTCCAGACTCTACATCATCTTTCTTTAAACTATTTAAATAGCTTCTAAACTAGTCCCCTGCCTCTTGGCCTACTCCCCCTCTAATCTGTTCTCCACACCGGTGCTAGAATTAGTTTCCTGCAATGTGAATCACATCACATCACTCCTCTCGGCTTCAAGCCTTATTTGACTCTGCACTGTTCGCTGGTAGAGTCCCAGCTGCTCCTTATGCCTTACAAGGGCTTTCACAACCTGGCCCTACGTACCCTTCCAGTCTTATCTCCTCCTCATGACCTGTAATGCTTTCATTATCCTCGTGCCCAAATAATAGCAAACTGAACAACCCGTTATGCCTCCATGCCTTTGGACACACTGTTCTCTCTGCCTAGAATGACCCCTTGTCTTCCAGCCAAACTCTTATTCAACTTTCAAAATTGAGCTTGGAGGAGGTCAGCATGGTTACACGAGAAACTAGTAACAGTAATTTGCCTCTTCAGAGAACTGGGTGACTGGGGTACAGGGGTGGGAGACCAACTGGCTGCTTCCATTTCCCAGCCTTTTGTACATTTCGTACTTTGTTCCAGAAGTCTGAGTACATTACTTGAAACATAAATACAATGTGATCATCTTTTGGAAAAAAGACTTCAGGATCAGTCCTCTAGAAAGCTGTTCTCCCCTCCCATTCTTTTGCTCTGTAGCCCCCCCTCCCAGCCCCCCTTCTTTGTTGCTACCTCTGGGCCTAGCATGTGCTCCTGTAAGTAAAATAATTACATTTGTTGTCATGTATCTTTTAAGCCCGCTGGTTCCCCAGACTGGGAGTTCCTTGAGGGCAGAAGCATCACTTAGTTCTTGACATTTCCCTGGGATCTAGCACAGTGCTCCAGTGAAGAAATGAGTGAAAAAATGAAGCCCCAATTCTAAAACAGGGCTCTTAAGCCTGTGCTCTTTCCCCATCTCCCTTACTGTCTGTCCTTTTACCTTGTGTTGAATCTAAAATTAACCACTAATATGTATTAAGTAATATCCATCACCTTGTCAGTTTGGATTTAGCATCATTCAAGGCTGCCTAGATCCATTCAAAAGTCCCTCCTAGCCTGGGTCATTAGAAGATTTGATAGGTTTTTATACATCTTATTCTGAGTCACTGAATCACAGAAAGGCATCATTGGTCTTATAGCTGCCATTTATTGAACATCTACAACAAGGTAAACACTGTGCTAGGTGCTTTTTATTTTTTTACACATAACACTGTCACAGCATTTGCTGCAAGGTAGATATTTTGATCCCCAGGGATTAGAGATGTAGAAATTGATACCAGTATGGTTAAAGCACTTTGCCCAAGGTCACATTTCTAGTAAGGGGTGAAGCTGCGATTTGAACCGAGATCTTTTGACTTTAAACTACATGCTTGATTCATACACTATGCTGATGAAAAGGGGGCCTCTCCGTTGCTTGACTATTCTGCAAGAGGGTTCTCCAAGGTTGGCTTGAATGTCTCCATGCCTCATGCTCATTGCCCCCCAAGGCAGCTCATTCCATTTTAGGCAGTTCTGACCATTTTAAAAGCTCTTGTTTGCAGTAAGCCTATACCATAAATGAGCTGAATAAGACACAGCCAAGAATAGAGCCTTTTGGCTCACTGCTGGAACTTCCCTCCTGGTTTGACAACAAACTATTTATTTCTTCAACTAGCTACAAACTCCTCTCAACAAACAGCTGGAGCGTCCAGCCTATACATTGCCATCTCGTCTACAAGAAAATTATGGGAAACTTTGTCCAATGCCTGGATGAAATGAAATCCACAAGAACTATCACATCCTCTGATCTGTCAATCTAGTAACCAGATTTTTAAAAAAAGGAAATGAAATCTGGGAGGGATATTTGTTTTTTAACGGGGTAATTTGTCAATGACTCAAAGTAATGAGTTTCTAGCAGCAGACTTTCAGCCATCATTGACAGGCTGTCAGGAAGATGGGTTTTGGGCAGTGGGCTTCCTACTGCTCTTCAAATGACATCTAAATAAGCACCCCCCCCAATTGTCATTGCTTTGAATTGCACAGCACTGTCATTTGTACCTGGTTTTATTTTTTTATTTTTAAAGATTTTATTTATTTATTCATGAGCAAGAGGGAGAGAGGAGAGAGAGAGAGAGAGAGAGAGAGAGAGAGAGAGAGAGAGGCAGAGACCCAGGCAGAGGGAGAAGCAGGTTTCCATGCAGGGAGACCGATGTGGGACTCGATCCCAGGACTCCAGGACCACGCTCTGGGCCGAAGACAGATGCTAAACCGCTGAGCCACCCAGGAATCCCCATGCACCGTTTTATTTAGCTTCTATTTCAGTTTTCTATTTTATTTTTCTCTGTGTTCTGCCCTTGCACATGTTTTCTGTGTCTGGTTCATTCTCGAAATTTCTACATCCTCCTTCCAAACACACACACACACACACACACACACACACTTACCCTCCTTGTCCATGAGAGTCAATGCATGCAGCCTCTCCTCTGGAAGCCTTCTCTGATGCTCCCACGCTGGTAACTGCCTCTCTTCCTGTGTGAGGTAGTAGAAAGTGCACACAGTAGCCATCACAGAGTAGATCCCCAGTAAAGGTTCATTTCCTTCTTCCCTTTCCCCCATGTATATCTCTACAACAGTGTCAATCACACCATATTGTATTTTCCTGTTTATTTGTCTGGCTTCATCACTCAATTCTGAACTCATGCATTCATTCACTTGACAGATATTTATTGCATATCTACTGTGTGTGTGCAGATCATCGTTCATGCTTTGTTCCAGGGATACAAATAATTTCTGAAATTGTACTTTCACCATGTCTTTTTTTCACTGTTGTATTCATAGCACCTAGTATGGTGCCTGGCAAATAAAGAGTGTTCATTAAGTGTTTAAGAGAAAGCATTTCCTCAGCAGAGTTCTCCAAGTGTGGTCCTTGCACCACTTGCATCTGGATCACGGAGGGCTGAGGGATGCAGGTTAAATGTTAAATGCCAGTTCCTGGATCTTGCTCTAGATCTACCGAGTCAGAATCTCTGAAGGGTAGGCTGCAAGAATCTGCATTTCCATCTGGTTCTGTAGGTATTTCTTGCAGGGGAAAACTTGGGAACTGTTGCAAAATAGAAGAGGGAGATGGAACTAATGCCTATTTTTGAAAAGTGCAGCTAAAACTGAACAAATCATTTTTAATGCCTCTGATGGCAGCAGGAAAATTTTGTAAAGGGGGAAAGGGCATTAGTTAAAATTCCCTGGGGAGGTTTTTTAAATAGATGGTATAGTCAAGCAATTATATACAAGTCTTTCTAAAATCTAAGATGAAAAGTGGATTTATTGCTAGTAAAATATAATCTTAATTTAGAAATTAATGATGCCAGAAAGTTTTCATTTATATAGACATACATGTACCCTTGATAATATATATTTAGGGACTTTTTGTTTAACTTAACAATGCAATATATTGATTTCCATAGTATGGACTTGAATCATAAATTTATTATTTTAAATCACAAGAAGGTATAGTACAACTGTATTTGGGCTTTGACCCTGATTTTATATAAAATATATGATTATATATATATATATGATTTATCAGATCAGATGCCTAGTCCTCGATCAGGAATGATAGTAGTGCTCATTCCCTATGAAAATTTGATCCATTTTACTGTTTTATTTTTTTTATTTTTATTTTATGATAGTCACAGAGAGAGAGAGAGAGAGGCAGAGACACAGGCAGAGTGAGAAGCAGGCTCCATGCACTGGGAGCCCGATATGGGATTCGATCCCGGGTCTCCAGGATCGCGCCCTGGGCCAAAGGCAGGCGCCAAACCGCTGCGCCACCCAGGGATCCCCATTTTACTGTTTTATACTGTATTTTCCAAGAGCATTCTGTTATTAAATTTGTTCTTTGGTAATAGATTAGGTATGTAGGATCTGAGTCAACCGAGGACAGTGTAGCTACCCTTTCAAGAAGGCTTGCAAAATTGCATTTTATGACCATGTTCCTGGGGCCTGGAACATTCTACTTTGGGTTTGTTTTGACACAATCCTCACAGTCAAGAGCTGAGGTGTCCATGCATCAGGGCACAAACCTCTTAAATATACATGAATTTGTGTTTCTGCTTCCTTCCCTATAACTTTCTTTTTTAAAAATTTAATTTAGGGTGTTGGTGGGGGTGTCGCTGCTGCTAAGATGGATCGCAAACTGCTGCCCTCACGGTGCCCCTTGGGCACCATGTCCAGCAACCTGAGAATTCTGTGTGGGGATTCCTCCCTGGAGCTGAGCGAGTACCAAGACCAGCAGTTTGGTGGAGATAATGATGAGCAGGAGAAATTGTTGAAGGACAGCTCCACACTCTATGTGGGGAATCTTTCCTTTTATACTACTGAAGAGCAAATATATGAGCTCTTTAGTAGATGTGGTGATGTCAAGAATGTATTTATGGGCCTGGATAAAATTAAGAAAACGGCATGTGGTTTCTGTTTTGTAGAATACCATAACAGATTTGATGCCGAAAATGCCATGTTGTTCCTAAATGGGACCTGCCTAGATGACCATACTATCTGCACAGATTGGGATCTCGGCTTTAGAGAGGGTAGACAGTATAGCCATCACCGATCTGGGGGCCAGATAAGAAATGAGTTTCGTGAAGATTCTGATATTGGTAGAGGTGGCTTTGGAAAACAGGCTCAGGCCCATGATAGGAGAGGAATCCATTAGTGAAAAACTGGCAACTCTGGCCCCTGGAAAAGTCTATTAAAGAACACAACAACAACAACAACAAAACAAAAACAACAACAACAAAAAAAAACAAAACAAAACACCAGGTCAGCAAAGAACCCATTTTGTCACAAGTTGAAATTACTTTATTTGCTGAGCAGAAGCCCTTTGTTGTATTTTTCTGTCTGAAATGTTATTGAATGGCACAAGCAAAAAATTCTTTCGTTCTTGTCTTAATTTTTAAAAGATTTTACTCATTTATGAGACACAGAGAGGCAGAGATATAGGCTGAAGGAGAAGGAGGCTCCCTGTGGGGAGCCTGATGCAGGACTCGATCCCGGGGATCACAACCTGAGCCAAAGGTAGATGCTCAACCACTGAGCCACCCAGGTGCCCCAGTTCTTGTCTTAATTTCGAAGCTGGTTGTCAGAATATCAGTTTGACCATTCAGTGGTCAAAAGCGAAATGGTCTTTAGGAATAAATATTAGGTATGTGCAATCTGAGTCAACCGAAGCACAACTCCCATTTCAGGAAGATTTTGTGGTCATGTTTCCAGGGCCTGAAATGATTTTTTAAGAAAGATTTTTATTTATTTAACAGAGAGAAAGAGTGCGAGAGAGTACAAGCCAAGCCGTGGGGAGGGGCAGAGGAAGCCGGAGCAGCAGACACCCCGCTGAGAGGGAACCTCCCCCCACCCCACCCCCATGTGGGACTTGATCCCAGGACTTGGGGATCATGACCTGAGCTGAAGGCAGTTGCTTAACTGAGCCACCAGGTGCCCCTGAAATGAGTTTTTAAAAATCTTTAAAAAAAAATAAAGTCAACTAAATGGAAATTTAGAAAAATTATCAAAGGAATAAAGGCACATTATTTAAACATAAAAACATTAAAATATCTGGAAGAGTTTATAATGAAACAAAAATTCTCTTGCCACACCTATTTCTATCCCAGGCCTACTCCCTAGGCAATAACTTTTAATTTTTTAAGGATTTTATTTTTAAATAATCTCTACATGCAACATGAGGCTCGAACTCACAACCCTAAGATCAAGAGTCACATGCTCTTCCGACTGAAACAGCCAGGCACCCCTTACTTTTCTAACAAGTTTTTTTTTTTTTGACGGAGGGCGTTTCTTTCTTGGCAGATTCCTCCATATTTCTAAGTAACATGACTGTGTACACTATTTATTTTCATTTTAAACATCTATTGACTTCCTGCTTTCATAGAGGAGGATTTAGTTCACTTACACCCACATTTTCACTTCTCTCCATCCTCTCAGCGTAGCTTGCAACACTTTATTTACTTTTTCTATTGTTACATAAATTAGGTTATGATGCAGTAATAAACAATCCAAAAAACCTTAGTGGCTTAAAATCACGAAAGTCTGTTCCTCACACTACATTTCCATTGCTTTCTGCTCCACACCCCAGTGATCATTTTCCTTCTAGAGCCCAGAAGGCACAGCCACTGCCATTAGTGTAAATCAGTTATGGCAATTCCCTCCTTCTTGCTGGCGTTTGGTTTAGGAACCCAGGCTTAAGCTGATCAGAGGTTGACAATGACCAATGGGGGCCCCAGTAAGACCGACATGAAAGATTTTTAGTTTATGTGTGAAGGAGAGGTTATCTCTGTCTTTCCCTGAAAAGTATGCATATAGCGATTGTTACAAGCAGTCTTGTTACAATCACAGGAGAAACCAGCTCTAGGATGAATTGGACACTTTGAAAGGGGAAAGGAGAGGCCAAAGAAACTAGGGCCTTCTCCAAATTACCTAGCTGATGAAATCCACTAACCTTGCAGCATACACTATGTCTCAGTGTCCTATTGTGTGAGATAAGACATTATTTCATTGCGTAAGCCAGCTTGTTAACATGTACCTGAAAGCACTCTGATATCAAATTTTTTTCTGGTATTTTTTAAAGAGAGAAAGAGAGTGAGAGAGGCGAGAGTGCACCTGCGCTGTGGGGGAGGAGCGGAGGGAGAGGGAGTGAGAGTATCCAAAGCAGGCTCCACTCCAAGCTTGGAGACCAGATGTGTGGCTCAATCTCACGACCCTGAGACCATGACCTGAGCCCAAATCAAGAGTCTCACTCTGAACCACTTGAGCCACCCAGGCACCCCACCAAATACTTTTTAATTATATTCTTGTGTTAATGATTTAAGTTGCTCTCTTGTGAGCCCAAACATATATCTCCAGAATTCATGACCTTACATCTTGGGAAGTTAGATAAAAATCAGTTTCTTTCTCCTGACTCCTTCACTTTGTGACCTGAGGTCATCCACTGTGGTCAGTAACATTCTTTCCTGAATAAGAGAGGAAGGGAATGTCACTTTTTATGGAATGACTATTCTGTGCCGGGCACTTTGCTGGAGGCTTTAAAACACAATCTCATTTTCTCTGAACAACTCTGTACCTGTTACATAAGTGAGAACACTGATGATCAGAGAAATAAGGTCACCAACTAGTAGGTGGCAGAGCTGGAGTTCAAAGCAAGGGAGTCTATGTCAAAGCTGGTGCCCCTAATCATGGGTACTCTTTTGTCTCTTTCCCTTACCTCCAGTCAGGCCACTAAGTCCAAACCCCTCTTTGCAGTTCCTTTTTCTCTGGAAATTATCGCACTGACTACATCGTATCTGAGCTCTCTCTCTCCCAAGCAACTTGTCAAGTGCGTTGTTCTTTCTGCCTTGACATCCAATATCACTCAGTCTCAACACTAATACCACCTAGCCATATTTATTTCTACTCCCTGGGTGAAAAAGGAGCATCTGACATGCATTTCTGGCCAATTTAGATTACTCTGCATACAGTAATAGAGTTTACAAACTTTTTAGGATCTCCCCTTTGCAACTTCCCTAAAACAGAAGAAGATATTTTTAAAGGCATGGAATTAAAATTTTGATTTTAATTACAAAATGTTTCTGGAGGAGTATCTTGGCACATCTCTCAACCACTCCTCCTGGTGGCTTCCCACTTGGATTGCTCCCAAGGAAGTCTTTTCCTAAGCTCAGAAAGAACATTTAACAATGTCTTGTGAAGCATACTTTTGGTTAAGTAAAGAGACTTTCATACTGTATGGTTAGAAGATTACTCCAGTAGTTCTTACAATATACCATGTTCTTCAAAATCATGCTGAATATATCAATAGAATAAAGGATAAAAATCACGTGATCATCTCAATTGGCACAGAAAAAGCATTTGAAAAAATTCAACACCCTTTTCATGATAAAAATGCTTAGCAAACTAGGAATAGAGCAGGGCTTCCTCACTCTGATAAAGGACATTTATGAAAACCCCATAGCTAACATACTCAGTGTTGAAAGGCTGAAAACTTTACCCCTAAGATCAGGAACAAGGCACTTTTATTCAATATTATACTAGAAGTTTTAATCTAGGGAAATTAGGCAAGAAAATACAAAAAAAGACATCTAGATTAGAAAATAATACGTAAAGATATTTTTATTTACAGGTGATATGATCTTGTATAAAGCAATCAGAAGGAGTCCACAAAAAAGAACTATTAGGGCTAATAGTTTAGCAAAGTTGCAGAATACAAAATCGGTATACAAAAATCAATTACACTTCTATGAATGAGCAATTGAAAAAAAATCCAAAATAAAATTAACAAAACAATTTCATTTAGAAGAGCATCAAAAAGGGTGACGGGCACTGAGGGGGGCACTTGACGGGATGAACACCGAGTGTTATACGATATGTTGGCAAACTGAACTCCAAAAAAAAAAAAAACAAACAAACAAAAAATAAAAATCAAAAAGAAAATATTTAGGAGAAAATATACCAAAAAGGTGCCAAATTGATACTCTGAAAGCTACAATACATTGTTGAAAGTAATTAAATAAATGGAAATAAATAGAAAGGCATAAATGAAAATAAATGGATAGATAGCCTGTGGTTCATAGATCGGAAGACTTATTAATATTGGTAAGAGGGCAGTAACTCCCAAACTGATCTATAGATTCAATGCAATTCCTTTCAAAATCCCAGTCATTTTTTAAAAATAGAAATCTATGAGGTGACCCCAAAATTCTTATGGAAATGTAATAGATAGCCAAAACAATTTTAAAGGAGAAGAATAAAGTGGGAAAACTTACACTTTCTGACTTCAAAAGTTACTACAAAGCTATATAGTAAATGAGACAGTGTTGTACTGGCATAAGGAGAGCCATACATCAATGGAACGGAATGGAATGGAGAGTACAGAAGTCAATGCTCACATTTACAGTCAAACTATTTTTGACAAGGGTACTAAGACAATTCAACGGGGGAAGGAATAGCCTTTTATTCCAGTTTCTTTTTAAGATTTTATTTATTTATTCATGAGAGACACAGAGACACAGGCAGAGGGAGAAGCAGGCTCCATGCAGGGAGCCCAACGTGGGACTCGATCCCGGGTCTCCAGAATCACACCCCGGGCTGAAGACAGCGCTAAACCACTGAGCCACCCGGGCTGCCCTTTTCCCCCAGTTTTTATTTAAATTCCAGTTAGTTAACATACAGCATAATATTAGATTCTGGTGTACAATATAGTGATTCAACACCATACAACACCTGGTGCTCATCACAGGTGCACTTCTTAATCCTCATCACTTAGTTAACCCATTGCCCCACCCACCTCCCCTCTGGTAATAATCAGTTTGTTGCACTTCTAGGTATTTACCCAAAGAATACAAAAATACGAATTCAAAGGGATACATGCGCCCTGGTGTTTATAGCAGCATTATCTACAACAGCCAAATTTGGGAAATAGCCCAAATGTCCATCAACTGATGAATAGATAAAGAAGATGTGGTATATATGTACAATGGAATATTACTCAGCTATAAAAATGAATGAAATCTTGCCATTTGCAACAATATGGATGGAGCTAGAGAGTATTATGCTAAGAAAAATAATCCAGTCAGAAAAGACAAATACCATATGATTTCATTCATATGTGGAATTTAAGAAACAAAATGAATGAGCAAAGGAAAAAAAAGAGAG